GAAAGACAACGAACAAATAAACAAAAAGCAGCAATAACAACAAACTCTATAAGTAATTCAAAACAGGGATAAACGTTCACATCTCAATAATTACCCTGAATGTGAATGGACTAAATGCATCACTGAAAAGATATAGAATGGCAAATTGGATAAACTATCATGACACAACAATATATTGTCTACAAGAGACTCATCTTACCAGAAAGGACACTCACAGACTCAAAGTAAGAGCGTGGGGGAAAATTTTTTAGGTAAACAGAACACAAAAGAAAGCAGGAGTCATGATCTTAATATCAGACAAAATACCCTTTAAGATATCAAAAATTTTAAAAGATATGGAAGGTCACTACATAATGATAAAAGGTTCAATCCACCAACAAGAAATATCCACCCTAAACATATATGCAATCAACATAGGAGCACCAACTTTCAAAAGCAGCTTCTAGGTAAACTAAAAAAAAAATACTGACTCTAACACTATCATACCTGGGGTCTTAAACACCCCACTAACAAACTTAGACAGATTATCAAGACAAAAAGTCAACAAGAAGATCTGGAACCTCAACATGATGCTTGATCAAATGAACTTAATTGATACCTACAGAACATTCCACTCAGCAACCATGGAATATGCATTCTACTCATCACCACATGGAACATACTCTAAGATCAACCACATCTTTGCCCATAAATCAAGCATAAGAACATTCCATAAGATTGAAATTCTGCCTTGTACCTTCTCACACCACAGTGGAATAAAAATAAATATCAACACCAACAAAGTTTCCCCCAAACCCACAAAGACATGGACACTAAATAGCATGATACTAAATGACTCCTGAGCCAACATGGAAATCAAAACAGAGACTAAAAGGTACTTGGAAACAAATGAAAATGAAGAAATATCTTACCAAAATCTCTGGGATGCCATGAAAACAGTACTAAGGGAATTCATATCGCTACAAACACACATGAAGAAAATGAAAAGATCACAAGTTAACAGCTTAGCAAATCACCTAAAGAAGCTGGAAAAGGCCGGGCTCAGTGGCTCAGCCTGTAATCCCGTGTCTTGGGAGGCTGAGGTAAGTGGATTGTCTGTGCCCGCAGGTTCAAGGCCCGCCTGGGCAACTTGGTGAGACCTCATCTCTACAATAAATCAAAAAAATTAGCTGGGTGTGGTAGTGTGCCTGTGGTTCCAGCTACTTGGAAGGCTGAGGCAGAAGGATCACCGGAGCCCTAGCAAGTCAAGGCTGCGGTGGCCGGGAGCGGCCACTGCACTCCAGTCTGGGCGATAGAGTGAGACTCCAACTCAAAAAAAATAAAATAAATAAAAATAAATAAATAAATAAATAAAATTAAAAAATTAAAAAAGCTGGAAAAGAAAGACCACCATGAATCCAGATCACTAAAATACAAGCCCAAATTCGAGACATGAAAGACAAAAATATAATTAAAAAAAATCAATTAAACCAAAAGCTTGTTCTTTGAAATAATAAACAAGACTGATGGACCCCTAGCTAGACTGACCAAGAAAAAGAGGAAAAAAGCTCAAATAAACACAATTAGAAATACAAAAGAGAAAGTCACAACTGACTCCAAAGAAATACAAAAGATTATTAGAGATTACTATGTACACCTGTATAGAAACAAACTAGAAAACCTAAATGAAATGGAGGACTTTCTGATATCACTCAGCCTCCCCAGGTTTAAAGAAGAAGAACTCAAGACCCAAAATAGATGAATAACAACCCAGAAAATCAACTATGTCCTAAGAAAACTACCTACAAAAAAAGCCCTTGTCCAGAAGGCTTTCCAGCAGAATTCTACAAAACTTACAAGGAGGAGCTAATACTAATCCCACTGAAAGAATTCCAGGCAATTGAGAAAGATGGAACTCTCCCAAAATCATTTTATGAAGCTAACATCACATTGATACCCAAACCGTGTAAGGATCCAACAAAGAAAGAGAATTACATGCCGATATCCTTAATAAACATAGATGCACAAATTCTCATCAAGATACTAGCAAACAAGATCAAACAACGCACATCAAAAATCATCCCCCATGATCAAGTAGGCTTCATACCTGGGATGCAGGACTGGTTCAACTTCGGCAAGACCATAAACATAATGAAACACATCAACAGATGTAAAGACAAAAACCACATGATTATATCATTAGATGCAGAAAAAGCTTTCAATAAAATTCAGCACCCCTTCTAGATAAAAACCCTCAAGCATCTAGACATAGATGGAACACACCTTAAAAATAGTAAGAGCCATCTACAAGAATCCCACAGCCAACATACTGCTAAACAGACAGAAATTGAAACCATTTCCCCTGAATACCAGAACAAGACAATGATGCCCACTCTCACCCCTGCTGTTCAACATAGTATTTGAAGTCCTAGCTAGAGCAATCAGACAAGAGAAGGAAATCAAGGGTATCCAAATAGGAAAAGAGGAAGTTAAGTTATCCCTCATTGCAGACGACATGACTCTATAACTCAAAAACCCAAGAGAATCTGTCAAAAATCTCCTTGCACTGATAAAGGACTTTGACAAAGTCTCAGGGTATAAAATCAATGTGCAAAAGACAGTTGCATCCTATACACAAACAATAAGCAAACAGAAACCCAAATAAAAAGCATGATCCCATTCACAACACACACACACACACACACACACACACACACACACACACACACACACACACACACACACACACAAAGGAAATACCTTGGCATCTTTCTAACCAGAGAAGTCAAAGACCTTTACAATGAAAACTACAAAACACCACTCAAAGAAATCAAAGATGACAAAAAAAAATGGAAAAATATTCCATGCTCATGGAAGAATCAACATTGTTAAGATATCCATCCTATCCCAAGGCAATCTACAGATTTAACGTAATACCCATTAAATTACCAGGAGCATTCTTCTCAGACCTGGAAATACAATACAGGAATTCATATGGAAACATAAATGACCACGAATAGCCAAAATAATCCTCAGCAAAAACAAACAAACAAACAAAAAGCAGAAAGTATCACACTCCCAGATTTTAAACTTTATTATAGTGCTAGGATAATCAAAACAGCCTGGTATTGGTACAAGAACAGGCATATAGACCAATGGAGCAGGACAGAGATTCCAGAAGCAAAACCTCAATTTCTCAACCAACTCATCTTCAACAAAGCCTACACCACCAACCAGTGGAGAGAGGAGACCCTATTGAGTAAATGGTGCTGGGAAAACTGGCTGACCACATGCAGAGGATTAAAACAATTCTCCTACCTATCACCATACACAAAAATCAACTCTAAATGAATCAAAGACCTAAAAGTAAAATCTCAAACTATAAGAACCTTAGAAAATACCAAAGACACCCTTATGGATATTGGAACTGGCAACTAATTCCTGATCAAAACCCCAAGTGTCCATGCTTAGGAGATAATATAGACAAGTGGGACCTCATCAAAATGACAAGCTTCTGCAAAGCCAAAGAAACCATTGAGAGAGTGGGGAGACAGTTAATAGACTGGGAAAAGATATTTGCCAACTGTATATCTGACAAAGACCTGACATCTAATATCTACAAGGAACTCAAATGTGCCAGAAAAAAAACAGCCCCATTACAAAGTGGGCAAACGATATGAATAGACACTTCTCAAAAGAAGACATATGAGTATCCAACAGATCCATGAAAAAATGCTCAGCTTCACTAGTCATCAAAGAAATGCAAATTAAAACCACACTGAGATACCACCTAACTCCAGTCAGGATGGCCATCATCAATAACTCAAAAAACAACAGATGCTGAAGAGAATGCAAGGAAAAGGGAACACTTCTACAGTGTTGGTGGCAGTGTGAACTAGTACAACCTCTATGGAAAACAGTGTGGCAATACCTAAAAAATCTAAACATCGACCTCCCACACAATCCTGGAATCCCCCTACTTGGAATATGCCCAGTGGAACTCAAATCACTTTATGAAAAGGATACCTGCACACACATGTTTATTGCAGCATTATTCACAATAGCAAAAACATGGAACCAACTATTCTGCCCATCAAAAGAGGACTGGATAAAATCAATGTGGTACATATACACAATGGAATATTATGCAGCCACAAAGAAGAACAAAATTATGAACTTCACAGCAACTCGTATAGATTAGGGGCTATAATACTGAGTGATCTATCACAGAAACAAAGAACCAATTATCATATGCTCTGACTCATAAGCAGACCATGAATAACTATTATAATACTATAAAAAGGGATTGACCATAGTGGGAAACTATCAGGGGAGGAGGAGGACACACCTCATTGACAAGGGTACCTGCATAATGAACATTTGCATACCTATCCCTGGATTCTGCCCCACATAATTAAATTTTTTTTTTAAATTTTAAAAAATACCTGCACCATTATTCATAATAGCAAAAAACATGGAACCAACCATGCCTCCCATTGAAAGTGGATTGGATAAAGAAAATGTTGTACATAAACACAATGGAATATAACACAGCCATGAAGAAAAACGCAATTATGGACTTTGTAGCAACTTGGATATATTTATAGTCTATAATACTCAGTGATTTATCACAGAAACAGAGATCTGAGTATACTCACTCATAAGCACACCCTGAACATTTTTCATAATACTATAAGAAAAGGATTGGCAGTAGTCGGATATTGCTAGGCAAGAGGGTGGGGCACATAACATCAGTAGGGGTACCTAAACTTTACCTGTACAATGACACTTATGTACCCTGGATTGTATCCCACATCTTTAAAATAAAATACAAATAAATAAAAATTTTTAAAAATATCTATTTCAACTCTGCACATTATAGACCTAGAAACTAAAACTAAATGACTTTCCAAGTGATCAGGATTTTCATTTTTAAATGGTTAGGGAACTCACTTTCATGGTAGAGTCTATCTCCCTACATTCTTGCCACTCTTCTGCACCTCTACCATGGGAACTCTTACCAATGATGCTACGAATGCAGTTCTCCTTTTTGGCGATGTTCTGGAGTTGTCCCATAAGAGATGCTGTGTTTTCGCTGCTCAGAGCAGTGAGACCCATGTCCTTGAGGCCTTGATCAACTTCCTCAGACACCTGTTCACTCACACTCATCATAGCCTCTTCAGGCCTAGATAATAAAGGATAGAAACAGAGTGTTTCTGCCACAGAGGCAAAGCCCAGAGAGCCTCTTACCAGAAGCCAGGCCCATTCAGGGGAGAACTCCAACTCCCTACCTACCACCAGTGGAAAGCAGGAACCACTGGGTAGGTAAAATACATTCGTATTTGTCCTTAAGGTACCAGTTAATCCAAACATACAATGCCATATGCCACAAGACAAATTCTGCAAGGGTGTGGTTCCATACTTGAATTCACTCAGCATTTTTCAGTCCCATAAACTTTACTTAAATATTGTTGAAAGATTTTCCTGGATATTTTTTCATGTTTTTTCTCCTACTTCACCAATTAAATTGCAAATAGATTAAGAGACCTGGACTTCGATTTACACTTTTACTTTGGTATGGTATGCTTGCATGCAATGAATGATCAGTATTACTGACCAACTTATCAACTTCTAGATATACATAACAGAAATCCACTGTCCCTCAATCAAGTATATAATGACTCATTTTTCATAAACACAATAATGAACATTTGTAGCAAACTAGCCTCCACACTCCCCTCTTTAAAAGAAAAAAAATTCATTTTCTATATCCTAAACCTCAATACTTAAGGACACTAACAAGCTTTGGAGATAGTTCCCAAGGGACTTTGCATGGTTTGTGATGAAGAATATGCAGTAATATATTACCTGCCTGTGTCTTAAATACCACATAATCGTTTTCATTCTACGACAGATCTATGAATCTTACCTGGACTTAAATTCTTCGGTCAGGGTCTTGATTATGTATTTCAGTTTATCCACAAATTCAGGTGAACTGAATAAAACTTTACCAGAAAAACTTCTGGCTACTAGCAAGACTGAGGCCAGGACAGTTAACTGGTGCAACTGGGACCCCATTTCCTGGAGCCGGATTCTGTCCATCAGCAAAGTCTGGTGAGTCAGGGAAGAACAGGCTGTTAAGAGAGGACAGTTCTCATGGAGGCAATGAAAACAGTACAACAAGGCATTATCCCAACACATATTCCTACCTCAGGAAATTCTTCATTTTTATGATCCCAGAGAAGGAGGTTCAGGTAGCCCTGATATAGCACCATTGAGAGACTGGGAGGCTCTGAGTTGTCAGCTGACCAATTTGAAGATGAACAAGCCATGCTGGAGGATGAGCTGGGTAGATCAGGAGAACTTAGACATGGTGTAGTGAGGTCTGTGACTGCTTTGGTTAGCCATTTTGTGGTATAATCAAGGAGATCTATGATAGAGAAGGGGATATATATATCTTCAAACTCTAAGGTTTAAAGACTAAGGCTTTGAGATACATTCCAGGTCAATAAAGAAGTGATTCTGTAGGTCTTTATATCTTAGAGAAATGCTCCTTCTTTTGACCCCTTGCCCAAGGAAGAAACTCTCTATTGAAAAAATAAAAATATATTCTGTTTCTATAAGAAGGAAGACCCAAGGTCAAATCTACCTTCTTTTGCCCTTAAATTGTAAACATACTGGGCTGTTTGTCAAGGAGTTCCTGGAATTTAGCTCGTTCATACTGGACGGAATGTTCCTGCAGGTAGGGTCGAAGGTTCTGGATGGTATAGTTCACCATGTCCATTTTCATTAGGCCTAGAACATGGAAGATGCCCCTGACACAGGAAGAAAGAGAATATTTACACTATGAAGGAAATTCAGTGTATAAGGGTAGAATCTAAGCAAAAAGTCATAAAATTACAGCATTTTAGAGTTGGAAAAAGCCTTAATAACAACAGTCTTACTTCAACTTACAAATAAAAATACTATAGCCAGTGACCCAAGGTCACAGAGTGATTTGATGGCAAAGCTAATAATACTTACATATCCTGACCTTTTAACTACCATTTTAGAGCTCTTTCCACCGCAGTCATTCTGTCACCTCGAAAAAGGGTAGTCCATGGAAGGAAAATCACCAAAGGGCTAACAACTATATGTGGGTAGTTGGAATGTAGGTGGACCAATTTCTAACTCCTTGAGAAAATCACTTTACTTTTTGGGTCTTAGTTCTTTTAGCTGTGAAACAGGGGTAATACTCATTTTTGTTCCTTCACAGGGTTTGAATTGGGACAAACAAGAAAACATCTGGGAAAGGGTTATTTAAAATCTGTAGAAAAAAGAATTACTGTACTTCAATATCTTAACAGTATCATGCCATAAAGGGGGCCCAAATGATCTAAAGATCATCAAAGAAACCCTGAGAGACTGTCCTTAGAAACGAAAAGTTAATAGTCCACAAAGGAGAAAAGAGGTGTTAGTCAGGTCGTCAATACAGAAGAGCTAGACAAAACAGGGTTATATCTCAATATCTGGCTCAGAGTTTTCTGGCAAACTATCTAAGGCAGATTTGGGGACAGTATGTTTAGATTCTCACCTCAGTAATTGCACTGGATCTGTTATGGTCTCTAGTTCTTGCACGGCTTCATCTCGAACTGGTGCACACAGTAGGGCCATCAAATTGAGAATGTAGTTAGAAAGCTGAGGGACATCCAGGGTCTCATGTTCTGCTTCCTGCTTGAGGAGATCTATGTCCAAAGCTTCTTCAATCTCATTTCTTAGGTGTTTCTGGCGTGGTAACAGCAGTGATAGCAAGATCTGCCCCCAAAAGGAATTTAAAAAGTCAAATTCTGTTTAGAATCCTAAACTTTCTCCAATGAACCCTTAGGCCAAGATATCCTAGACTAAATCTTTTGGGAGTTAGGAAAACGTGTCTCTAAGTTTCTTAAAGAGTATTATTTCTTTCCATTTGGAGGACAATTAAAATTCAAAGCTTCATTGGGATCGGTTATAGTAGTAGTAATATTTTCTAGGTAGAATAAGATAAAAATATGAATAAAAACAAGTGCGATTTTTAAAAATGCAGAATATAAGAGGTATAAAATACACACCACCACAAGGTGATTAACCATTCTTAATAATGGATAAGGAAATTTTTGATTGCTTTACTCCAAAGGGCAAGGAAAAAATAAGCAAAGGAATCTTTAAGGGTCACTTTAAATAGCATTTTGACTCAATAGTATGTTTCTTAAGGCCAAGGGTTCTCTTATTCATCTCTGTGCTTTGGAAACACATAAGTAATAGAGTTCAATAAAAATTTGTTTAATTGAATTATATATTGTGTTGTTATAGTTATATCCCAACTGTCAAGCTTCATCTTATACAGATAAAATGGAAGTGGCTCCATACTATCTCTTTAAGTAGTAGGCCATGTTCAAAAAGTATGCTGCTTAGGATATTAGTAGCCATTGACAATTCAAGTATCTGAGCCCAGAAACTTTCCATCCACATATAGAAGGTTGGTTACTCACCTCTTTAACTTCTTTTAGAAGTTCAAGAGCACAGGTGAAATCAGGAGGAGTACTTGAGAACTGTTCTTTCAGATGGTCCCAAAAAGCATTGTACATTGTCTCCATGAACTTGCCTTCCACACTATAAGAAAGTTAAATTTTAAAATTGCTCTTTACCTAGAGACTTAATATAGGATCATAACCTCCCAAACAGCATTTAAACTCATAAAATACCATTAAACTGCAGGCCAGGAGAAGCTATGTTAAGACTTGAGAAGAGTTTAATAAACTGAAGTAATCTCATCTGGGAAAACACCGGCCAAAACTTCTCAGAAGGACAACTTATAGATCTGGTGAAGCTCTCTTCCTGCTGTAGGAAGGACCATAAACTAAAGGGTTGAGACTCTAAGTTCTAACCCTGGGTCTGCATCAAGCAAAAAAGGTCAAAACTCTTTCCCCAACACAACTATCTGACTTGTGAGAGATCACCAACTATTATCTAGTATATACTGGAGTCCTTCTTAATTCCTTTCCCCTCATCTCTTTTATCCACTATGTCACCAAATTCCAGAGACTCGGCTTCCTAAATATCTCTGGAATTCATCTCCACTCACCATCACCTCCTACCTAGACAACTGTAATGGTATATTAAATGGTCACCCTGACCCCACATAATCTTATCCCAGCAATACCACATATTTCTGATAAAATTAAAGACATTCCTAAGATAAATCTGACCATGATGGCATGCTCACTTAGTCTTTCAGAAGCTCCTTATCTGTTAAAAACAAATATGAGCTTTGAATGTAAGTGAAATGTAAACTTTAAATAATATTATTCCTCCTGCTTCATTTATCCACTCCTCACTACCACGGACACCCTTAGCTACGTTAACAGACTTTCACTCTCCTAGTTTCACTTTTTTCTGCAACTCTACTAACAGAAAATAAATCTCACTCGAACCTCAGAGACTATGAAGGCAATGAAGAAAATGTCAGGAAACCTGTGTTTTGGTAAACACTTTCTTCAGGGAAGCTGACCTTGGCAACAGGCAAGGGCAAATCTAAGGAGTATGAGGATTAAGAGAACCACTGACAGCAAAGTTCTTTAGTAACAGAACGCTGAAAGTGATGAAATAATAGAAGCATTTATGGTGGAAAATTAGAAATGCTATAAACATAGATTCTAACCAAAAATTAACTCGTTTAACTATTAATAAACCGTTAGAGGTGTTCAATTCATACTTGCTGAATGAGTCTTAATTATGTATTGCAATATAAACATAATTAAGAGGGATCCAAAGAAAGCCTAATTTTAGAGGGAAATTATTTGTCAATGAAATTCTGATCCTAATTCACAGAATCTTTATTAAGATAATCATGAAACAAAAATGTTCCCTGAAGTCTCTTATCCCATGAAGAGTTGGCAATACCACTATTAGAAAAGTAATCTGCTCATGTGTACCTGTTTAATCTGTAGATAGTTAAAAGAGTAACTGCTAGGAACACTTTCCTCCAAGTCTGTCTAAAGAGATCTGAAATTAACTCTGTTTTATTATTAACTGAAACCTCAAAAGGGACATTTTGACAATACAGGCTGAATAAAACTTTTCTGAGATGCTTGGGACTAAAAATGTTCTGAACTAAGATTTTTTTTGGATTTTGGAATATTTGCAGTTATACTCCAATGAACGTTCCCTTTAGCATCATGTTACTGTAGAAAAAGTTTTAGATTTTGGAGCATGGCAAATTTCAGATTTTCGGATTTGAGATGTTCTGCCTGTAATTGCATTAGTGATTTTCCTGTTTAAGTATAATTTGCTGCTTTGTTCCTTTTAAACTAATAAATTATTACTCTTGTTTTAGTTGTTGGTACCATTTAAGACATATTCAAACATTAAATGTATTAGTACGATGCTTCAAAACTGACCAAATGCCATTTGTGCTATGCATTTATGCCAGAAAGAGTAAAATGGAAAAAACTGAAGAGTCTGTACCTGTTTGTAGATAAAACACTCTCTTCCATATAGAAATCTTGGTTTACCATGATTTCATGTGCAATGCTCAGCTTGGAAATTTTGTTAACTGTCTCTATCAGCTCTGTGACAGAAAGGAGTTCAGGTCTGCTCTCTGGAAAACAGCATAGCAGTCAGTAACAAGGAACCCACAAGTAGAACTTCTAGTTTATTCAGAGATTCCCTCAGTCAAGTAAGGCTTCAGAGTTTAGCTTCATCAAATTGATCTTACACAGACTCAATCATTTTAGTGTATGAAGTTTTCTGAACTCTTTGCCCTCTAACACCACTGAAAATCTCAGAGAAGTCAGGCATGAGAAGATAGTTTTTGAAAAACAGGAAGTGAAACTGATTCCAAAACTTTCCACTTGAAATGTCAAAACAATAAGTAAAACACAGCAAACAAACAATAAATAAGTTGTAGTTTATAAAATTATCATTTATTTATTTACCCACTATCCTCTTACTACTTCAGAGGCCACACACAAGATGAGAGCTAATGTCTTGTTATAGATAACATCACAGGTTTTCCTAGATTTCTCTAAAGATAAACTGTGCTTATAAAACAGGGGATTCAACAGATCAACTACATTTCAAAAAAATTTAGTGATTGTCAATTATTTGACAATTTTTGTTTTTTTATGTATGGAGATGATGGCAAACAAAAAAAGTCCATCATCATCAAAACAATCATTTCATGAAAAGAAAGTATACATTAATACCTCAAAAAGTATACAGAAAATATATTCAGTATTAAGAGTAGTCTTTTAAACTGAATTAATTTAACTTTATTTTTAAAACTTATGACAACATATTTATTGTTTTATATCATTCAATATTGATAAGAACTATGTCACAGAGCAGCATTGCAATTTGGGAACCATGCTCCAAATTCTTTACTAGACCACTTACAACATTGACACATAGTAAGCATATACAGTAGGTAAAATTATTACTTGGTATATAATATAAAACATACAATAACTCACTTTCAATGTAGTTTCATAATTTGTTCCAAGGCTTATTTGTCCACAAGACAGAGTAAAACTCACACTTAAGAATCTCAAAATTCACTCCAAGAAGATGGTCTACTTATATGCATTTATTTTTTATTACAAATATTTCCAAAAAGTCCCATTAACTGACATTTTTCTACCCTAAGTAAAAAGCTACATAGGTAAAAACATACCACTTAATTCATTAAGATATTTATTTGAGAGGTACTATGAACTAAGAATTGTGTCATTCTGTTTACCAGCAGTGACCTCAAGTGGCCACCAGGGAAGCATATGTGAGTCAACTTAATAACTTGGTGGACTCCAACCACTCCTCCCATCCGATTTCAGTCTTCAAGAGTTTAGGTCAAGTGTCTAGATTTGGACAGGTCTGCAGATTAATGTGTGGTTAAATTAACCAGAGATTATTATAAGAAAACTGCAATTTGAGCTCCTAATGAGGTTGGTCTTATCAAACCGGAGCTTTAAATATTTAACATAAGATGTGAAAATGACCCAACATCCCAATGTTTACATTAAAATGCTGTCCACAGGTCTAAAGAATTTTACCCCAGAGCAGCGTTAATTTTTATGTCAACAAGACACCCCTGGAAAAGGACAGAACACAATTCTAGCATCAGATAATTTGGATTTTTCTGAACTGTCCTAGACCTACCATTTACTCTCTACAAAATCAAAATTGAAAAATCCTGTCTATTTCAGTGATTGAACTGACACAGCCACTCTCAAGTCTTGTCAAACACAAGTAATTATGCTTTGTTGGCCTCTTTCTCTAAAGCCAAAATCTTTTAATTTTGTCCACCAATAAAGGGGCCTAAATCCTGTATGTGAAAATTAGAGGGGAGAAAAGACAAGGGAAATAATAATCCAAAAGAGGACTAACAAAAGGATAAGGAAGGAAAATGCAAAGTTGCAAGACCCTTTTAAGTCCTTAAAGGTCCTTAAGCCTCAGGCTGCCTATTCCTTAAACCTAACTGCTATCCAAGGAAGTGATCGTGCCATTCTAGACATACCAGGAGAGTGGTTATCTAAACAGAAGCTCTTGCTTTCCTGGCTCTGCTCTGGTGTTTTAGGGCTACAGACCTCGCTCTCTGCTTCACTGGGATCATTCTGAAGCACAGTTTCCTCAACCTTCGGCATCTTGATGTTATCTGGAATTGTAGAGAAAAGAAGAGGCAAGCTGTGTAAGATCTGGCTCATGCTCAGGGACAAGGGGAAAGAGAGTTGTTCAAATGCCATTGTGCGTCCTGGTGAATGAACTTGCTGCCCTTAGTTAAGGGGACAAGGACTCCGGCTTCAAGGATTTCTTAAATAAACAACTAGGGTCTTCAAACAGGCCTTGGGGCAAGGGGAACTTGGTACTAATGGGACTGTGTTAGGAAAGCAGAAGAGGAAAATAAGACCCAGAGATAAGGAATGACTTGCCAGAAGAAGAGCACACAATATATTACTTACAAGCTAGGAAGGACTCTTGCTCCACTCTGGCTACCCTTAATTGGTCCCAGAACACCCCCTTCATATTTAACTTCTGCTCCAGAGCTGCCTGAAGAGGGCTGGAGGCCTGAACTCAGGCAGCAGGATATTTCCCACCCCCCCACAGCACTTGGGACTCTGACCCATCACCTTTTTCCAGTTCTTGACCCGGAGTCTGCGGCTCAGTCGGCTAGTGCGGCCCCTCTGCCAACCCAACCTGGTCCTGGGACGTACCACTGAGGCCACAGCGAGAGGAGAGATCACCAGGGCTGGGTCAGACGGAACCATGGAGATGATGAGGTCTACCTGAAGTGCACCCCTACCTGTGATACTAGGTAGGAGAGTCCAGTCATGAAGACAAAGGGTGCCCCACCCACCCTGTTTCCTGAGTAGCAGGCCGACTCATGCCCAGGGTGCCTTGGAAACCAGAAAGCCGGAAAGGCAAGCGAGGTCGCATCACTAAGTGATACAGGCTGGAGGCAGAGATTCTGTGAGAAAGCTTCAGATTCATACTTTCCCTTGTAGTCCCGAAACCCTTGGAAATAATCTTCTCAAGCCCTGTTCCTCCCCTTTTCATCCCCACTCCCTCGGAGAAGATAAAATTTAGATAACTATTTAGGAAGGAAAGAAAGCATTATTTTTTTTGTTTGTTTCACTTCATCCTGTTCAGACAGCTTTAGAAATTAAAAACTAACAGGGTTACAAAATTCCAGAATTCTTTTTGGTGTTTTTATTTGTTTGTTTGTTTCGTATAAGTGAATCAATCATCCACACAAGTTGAAGGAGAGACAGATGACTTGTTAAACTCTCATTTTACAAACATGAACATCAAGAATCATTAATTTTAAAGAGCTGATCGTAGAAGCTCTGAGGTGAAGGACAAGACCATCAGATCCTAGGTTTTGGTTTGGGTTCTTCCAATTCAATTTCTGACATGTTCAACAATCCAGTTATGAGCTTTGGAGTTCATCTCTAATCTGAGGATACTGAAACAAATGACTCTCGGGGCCCTCTTGTTGCTCACTCTTGACTTCTAGTCACCCCACTGGCCAGTTACCATGGTGATGTGAAAACCCCTGGATTGGCCTGTTACCAGTTTAAATATGTATATTTTTCGTTTGTTTGTTTTAAAAAGATGTTTCCACACTACACTATTCAATCCCTCTCTTTTACATTGACTTAATTTCTTAACATATTAACTTATTGTTTTATAAAACAAAAATATACTTTGACCAAATTCTCATCACAATTCTTGCCTTGTTAGTGCTAATAGGAAAGTGTTGATATCTTGCTCAACATGTGGATTTTGAAGAGTGAAGTTAGGGGGAGGAGGTCCAAAACTTTCCAGTCTAGGGAAAATTCACCCTACCCTCCAGGCACAAGAGGATATGAGGGGGCTTGGCTAGTAAAGTTATCACTTAGCTAAAGAGTGTATCTTACTAATAAAATACTAAATTTGAGTCTTCACTCTCTTCTGGTTTTGCCTCAGAAATGTCAACTGTAAAACAAATTGCTCTCACACCCAGGAGAAATGTCTGAATATCTTTTACTTGTTTTGAATGTCAAATTTTACATTCATAATACATGTTTCACTATACCAAAAGTTGATTTCTCATTTTAAAAAAATCAGAATTCTATTTTGTTTCTAAGAAAAAAGTTTCCAGAATGAGACCAATTTATTTTCTCACAAAAATTGTATTGTTAAAAAGACTTTCTCCAGTGATGCCTAAAATTCTGTTAGTACTTCATTCAAATAAGTTAAACAGTCTAAGTGTCTTTTAATATTGAAATCTCCTAGGAGAAGTAATAAGGAAAAATATGTGTGAGAACAATAAACAAGTGGAAGTAGAAAATATAGCAAATTATATTTTGTCTGGGGTTGGCCCACATACTGCATTTAAAAATCTGTGTCATCAATAGTTATCAAAAGCCAAGTAGACAGAAGTTAGAAATTGAGAGGAACAGAAAGATAAATGGAAAATATGCCCTGCTTCTCTCCAAATCTGTTAATTATAATTGTTTTTATGTAACTATACACGAACTCTCTTACATTCCAAATTTCTATACTTTGCACACAATATTACCTGCTCAATAAGTAAGACAGATGTTATTTTGTGCCCATTTAATAGGACAACAAACTGGGGATAAAAAAGATTAGGTAAATTGCTAAAGATCACACAGCAAGCAAGGGAGACAAGTCTTGAACACAGTTATTCTGAAGCTTGATCTTTTTTTTCTTTTTGTGATACTATCTTGCCTCTATGACTAAGAAGCTGTGTATTAAAATTTAGAAAAACCTAATTTGCAATGGTTGGTAAAGTACCAGAAGTGTGATATATACCAGAAGTGCAAGAGATGGTCAGTAAAAGGGCAAGATATCTTCCAGATGCTTGAAATCAAGTATTGACCCAGCCTTTAACTGAAACCCTAAACAAGATTATCAGGATTACTTGGATTTTGAAGATGATTGAGTCTCTGTCTCAAACTGGCTCTGTACTCAACCTTAAGATCCAAATTAAAATCACAATGAGAGACTACTTCATAAACACTAGGATGACTAGAATCAGAAAGGCAGATAACAAGTGTTGACAAGGATATGAAGAAATTGGAACACTTATATACTGGTAGTGGAAATGTAAAAATCATCCAGTCACTTTGGAAATCAGCCTGGAAGTTCTTCAAATGATTAAACATAGAGTTATCATATGTCTTGGTCAGTTCAAGCTGCTATAACAAAGTACTATAGGCTAGGTGACTCATAAACAACAGAAATGTATTTCTCACAGTTTTGGAGGCTAGAAGTCTGAGATCAGGGTGTCAGTATGGTTGGGTTCTGGTGAGGGATGTCTTCAGGGTTGCAGATTGCTGACTTCTCATTGTATATTCACATGACAGAAGAGGCTAGCTCTTTGGCCTCTTCTTTTAAGGGTACTAATCTCACTAATGAAGGCCCCAACCTTATGATCTAAATACCTCCCAAAGTTTCTACCTCACATTGGGGATTAGAGTTCAACATAAAAATTTGGAAGGCACATAGGCGGTCAATCTATAACACGATATGAGCCAGAAATTTTATTCCTAGGTATATAATCAATAAAAATAAAAATATATGTTCACAAAGAAACTTGTATCTGAATGTTTATATCAACATTATCCATAATAGCCTATAGGTGGAAACAATCCAATGTTAATCAACTGAGAAATACATAAACAAAATGTGGTATATCCAGACAATAAAACATATTATAAAAAAAGAAGTAAGTAATGATACATGCTGTAATGTGGGTGAACCTTGAAAGCATTATGCTAGGTGAAAGAGGCTTGTCACAAAAGACTACATACCATATGACTTAGTTCATATAAAAGACCAGAATAAAGATATCTATAGAGTAAGAAAGTAGATTAGCCATTACTTAGGGTTGGAAGGTGGTAAAGGAAAATAGAGGGGTGATAGCTAAAAGAGATGGGGTTTCTTTTTGCGGTGATAAAAATGTCCTAAAATTGACTCTGGTGATAGCTGCACATATCTGTGAATATATTCGAAATCTTTGAATCGTATACTTTATTTATTGGATGGTAAATTTATTTTTATTTTTATTTTAGATTCAAAAGGTACATGTGCAGGTTTGTAACACAGATATACTGCTTGATGGTGGGGTTTGGGCTTCTACTGAGCCCATCACCCAGGTCGTGGACATGGTACCCAGTAGGTAGTTTTTTAATCCTTACCCCACTCCTCTCTTCCCCCTTTAGGAGTGCCCAGTTTCTGTTGTTCCTATCCTTGTACCCACGTGTATTCAGTGTTTAGCTCCTACTTATTAGGAAGGATGTGGTATTCAGTTCTCTGTGATAATTAAGAAGATGGTCTCTAGCTCTATCCATGTTGCTGCAAAAGACATGATTTTGTTGTTTTTTTATGTGTAGTGTTCCATGATGTATATGTACCATATTTTCCTTATCCAGTCCATCATTTATGGGCACCTAGGTTGTTTCCATGTTTTTTCTATTATGGATAGTGCTGCAATAAATATGCTAGTACAGGAGTCTTTTTGGTAGAGTGATTTATGTTCCTATGGGGATATACCTAGTCATGGGACTGCTGGGTTGAACAGTAAATCTATCTGTAGTTCTTTGAGACATTTCCAAACTACTTTCCACAGAGGTTGAACTAACTTAAACACTCACCAACAGTGTAGGAGGGTCTCCTTTTCTCTGCAACTTCACCAAGATGCTGTTTACTTTTTAATGAAAGTCATTTTGACTGGTATGAGATGGCATCTCACTGTGGTTTTGATTTGTATCTCTCTGATGATTAGTGATGTTGAACATTTTTTCACGTTTGTTGGCCATTTCTATGTCTTCCTTTGAGAAGTGTCTTTTCATGTTCAATTTTAATGGAGTTATTAGTTATTTTCCTGTTCATTCATTTGAATTCTTTGTAGATTCTGAATATTAGTCCTTTTCAGATACATAGTTTGCAAATATTTTTTTCATTTTATAGGTTGTCTGTTAACTCAGTTGATGGTTTATTTTGCTTTGTAGAAGCTCTTACTTTGATTAAGTCCTGCTTGTTAATTTTAGTTTTTGCTGCTTTTGTTTTTGAGGTTTTGGTCATGAATTTATTACCTAAGTTGATGTCCAGAAGAGTGTTTCCTAGGCTTTCTTCTGGGAT